ATTCATCCTGTCCGTTTTTTTTTTGCGTGCCATTGCTATCGAACATCCGGTTAGCATGAAAATATGAGTGTATGTGAGTTTGCCCAGCATGACGGCGCATTATGGAACAAATTGGCCACTTTGGGACCCATCTAAATGACTCCCTCCGCCCCGCGTTCACCACACACACTAAATAAACGCTGCTTTTTGAAACGGGGCCATTAGTCCTGAGGACTGACCATTACCCACACTGCAGCAGTGAGTTTTCTGGCTCCCCCGCGACACGCCGCTGATTTATGAGCGCCACTGATATTGACCTTGTGCTTTTATGGGTTTAGATTTGTGCCGGTCACTCGCTTTATCCTGGCTGTAACTGAACTTTAGGCATGGAAGGGGAGGTAAGTGTGATTTTGAGGACTTTTTAATGTGTTGGTATGATATATGGTCATCACTGCGCTGTTCAGTGATCAGGAGTCCTGCACAGGACAAAATGCGGAAACCTTTTAGCCCGGACATCCTGCTGATTCTTTTAATTAAGCAGCTTGTAAAATCAATCTCAGCCTGTTGAGCTGATGAATGATGCAAACCTGTAAATGACTCCGAGATCCCTTGGGGGAGGTGTGTGTGTGTGTGTGTGTGTGTGTGAGAAAAAGAGAGAGAGAGGAACACTTGGCTATTGTTTCTGTAAATGCTTATTGTACAGTTAGCTTTAATGCAGTAGTTCACCCAAAGTTGCAAGTTTGTCTACGTCATTCTAAACTTTTAACTGAGGTTTTTTCTTCGGTGGGAAAATATGGTTAATATCACTTAGAAAACGACACATTAGTCTTATAGAAATACATTTGTTTTTGTGATAATTATGACAATGAGATAAACAGAAAGTAAGTCATAATTATCAGCGTAAATGCATTATGAGGTAAACTTTTTAGTTCATTTCCAGACATAATTTGTCAGTTGGAGGGTGACATGATGGCTCAGTGGTTAGTACTGTGACATGAGAGCAAGATGATTGCTGGTTTGAGTCTTGGTTGGGTCAGTTTGCATTTTTGTTTGCATGTTCTCCCTGTATTGGAGTGAGTTTCCTCTGTGTTCTCCCCACAGTCCAAACACATGCGCTATAGGTGAATTGGATGAACTAAGTTGGCCGTTGTGTATGTGTGTGAATGAGTTTGTATGGATGTTTTCCAGTACTAGGTTGCAGCTGGAAGGGCATCCGCTGTGTAAAACATATGCTGGATAAGTTGGCGGTTAATTCTGCTGTGGCGACCCCTGATGAATAAACTAAGCCGAAGGACAATGAGTGAATGAATGAATTTGTCAATTGACAATTCAAAATGACTATGACAGGTCAAAATTTTAACATGAAAGCACAGAAAGGAAAAAATTGTTAAAATTCAGGGTCAAGGTCACGAGACAAAAAAATGTTGCATAAGTTGAAATAGTATATTAGTTTTCTATTTCAGCATATATTTTTTTTGTTATGACTTTTTTTCTTTTCTAGACTTTCATGTTAAAATTTTAACCTGTCATAGTTATTTTTACTACTTGAGATTAAAAGAAAAGTAGAAATATGACATGAGTCAATCATCATCTGAGTTAACATGAGTTTTTAGGTTTATTTCATTATTTATATCATTTATTTTATATTTCTGTGTGGAGTTTTATATTAATTTATTTTACATACATTAAAAACAAACTAGATAACATATCATATCGTTAAAAAAAATTATGTTAAGTTAAAATTTTATCCAACCTGAGTATGACAAATTTTTAAAAATCTTAAATCGACTAAAATTCATTCATTCATTTTCTTTTTGGCTTAGTCCCTTTATTAATCTGGGTTCGCCACAGCAGAATGAACCGCCAACTTATCCAGCATATGTTTTTTACACAGCGGATGCCCTTCCAGCTGCAACCCATCACTAGGAAACATCCATACACACTCATTCACACACTTAAGGGCGTCACACACTTGAAAGTATCGCACACTAGACACGGTCTTGTGGGGGAAACCGGAGCACCCGGAGGAAACCAACCCGAACACGAGGAGAACATGCAAACTCTACACAGAAATGCTAACTGACCCAGCTGAGGCTCGAATCATAGACTTTCTTGTTGTAGGGTGATCATGCTACCAACTGCGCCACTGTGACGCCCTTGACTTATTATTATTATTATTTTTTTACTTTAACTTTGTATTACATTAAAAAAACTGACAAGTTTAAGATGAATAATAATGATTCAATATTATTGCGACACCATTAATGACAACTAAATTATGATAACTACCACAAAAATTTTACCATAAAATGTTTGGGATAGGTGGCACGATTCCTCAGTGGTTAGCATTGTTGCCTCACAGCAAGAAGGTCTCTGGTTCAAGTCCCAGATGAGCCAGTTGGCATTTCTGTGTGGAGTTTGCATGTTCTTTCTGTGTTGGCGTGGGTTTCCTCCGGGTGCTCCGGTTTCCCCTACAGTCCAAACACATGCGCTATAGGTGAATTGTATCCACTAAATTGGCCATAGCATATGAGTGTGTGTGAATGAGAGTGAATGGGTGTTTCTCAGCACTGGGTTGTGGCTGGAAGGGCATCCACTGTGTGAAACATATGCTGGAATATTTGGCGGTTCATTCCCCTGTGGTGACCTTTGATAAATAAGTAAGGAAATGAACATTTGAGATATAGTCAATCATTTTACTGTCTATTTTCTATTTTTTGAGCTTTAAATTTGTTTAAACTTTTTTGGAAAAAGCACATAAAGTTTCATCTTTTTCAGTCTGCAATCTTGAAATGACATAAGGTTGACTAAATGATGACAGAATATTCATTTACGCCTGAATTATGCCTTTAACCATAGACGTTTCCCGAGTTCATTTGGAGAAGCGGAGGCACTTAGACTCACATAGAGATCCTCTCCTCAGATAGCAGGGTCTGCTCAGCCAATAAGCAGATGTGAAACAGATAGACCGTGGCCGCATCGATCCAGCCCAGACTTGACTAATAGCCGGTCTGCTTTTTTTTACCCAGTCTCTGGACTTGTAGGTGTGTGATTGAGTTTGCATGTCAGCAATCGCTCCTCTCTATCAGTCCTGCCCACCGTCTCTGGAGGATCCAGTCCAGAGACGCCCGAGAAAATGCCCATGTGTAAATACTGGGAGTGTCCAGTTCTCAGATCAGTGAACCGTGACCCGAGCATGAGGGTCGGCCGTGGGAAGAGTCACATGATGCATAAATAGACGGCTTTTGATGTAGAGCGGGTTTCATCTCAGCATGCTGTCTGAAGTGTTTTACTAAAATAAACTCATGTGCTGTTGTGTCTTTATATGGAGATTTAGGAATAGGCGCTGATGCCAACTAGTAGTCATACAACAAATGTCATTAATACTGTGAGTAATGATTGATAGTTCTGATGTGTTTGGTTATTGTGCTTTAATTGGCATGTTGTGATTCAGATATTGGAGACTTTTCCCACTATTAAACCTTTTGAAAAGGGTAGAAAGGCCAGTGCAGGATAACAATGAAGTTCTTTTACTTTGTTACTTGTTCCTTTACATTCTTTGGGTATTTTGGAGTATTTTGGGAAACTTTTAATTCACATTTAACAGCATCATATCATATTTTTTACTCCTTATACAGCTACAGTATGAGAGCTATCACTGGGATGGTACTTTTTAAAAACGGTCCATGTTAATACCTCAAATGTACATATTAGTAGTTAAACAAAACAGTACAATAGTATACCTTTTGAGATTTTGGGGTACTAATACGAAGCTTTTTAATGTCCATGTTGGGGCGTCACGGTGGCGCAGTGGGTATCACAATCGCCTCACAGCAAGAATGTCGCTGGTTTGAGCCTCGGCTGGGTCAGTTGGCATTTCTGTGTGGAGTTTGCATGTTCTCGGTGTGTTCGTATGGGTTTCCTCTGGGTGCTCCGGTTTCCCCCACAAGTTAAAAGGCCTGTGGTACAGGTGAATTGAAAAGGTAAATTGTCCGGGGTGTATGTGTGTGCATGAGTGTGTTTCCCAATGATTGGTTGCAGCTGAAAGGGCATCCGCTACGTAAAAACATGCTGACTAAGTTGGTGGTTCATTCCGCTGTGGCCACCACAGATTAATAAAAGGACTAAGCCAAAAATATTGGTTGTAGGCCTTAAATCAGTTTAAACAGGTCTTAATTTTCCTATGTCCATGTAAAGCTACCCAATCGGGCCGACAATTACTAACAATATATTTTAATAAAAGTTTTAAGACAAGTTTATTTATTAGCTCTGTTTACTTATCTTCCTCACAATAACTTTTGTTTATAATGTTTTTTAGCCTTGTGTAAGTCTTAAATTTCTTTCATATTGGTCTTAAAATGGTCTTAAAAGTCTTAAATTTGACTTGATGAAACTTGTAAAAACCCTGTGTAATATGTATCTAGGTTATCTGCACTTTTGTTCATTCATTGATTCATTTTCTTGTCAGCTTAGTCCCTTTATTAATCCAGGGTCGCCACAGTGTAATGAACCGCCAACTTATCCAGCAAGTTTTTATGCAGCGGATGCCCTTCCAGCCGCAACCCATCTCTGGGAAACATGCACACACACATTCACACACACACTCATACACTACGGACAATTTAGCCACCCCAATTCACCTGTACCGCATGTCTTTGGACTGTGGGGGAAACCGGAGCACCTGGAGGAAACCCACACGAAGGCAGGGAGAACATGCTAACTCCACACAGAAACGCCAACTGAGCTGAGGTTCGACCCAGCGACCTTCTTGCTGTGAGGCAACAACACTACCTACTGCGGCACTGCCTCGCCTTATCTGCACTTATACTCATGTAAAACTGAAACAGAGTACTTTACTATTGCTTTTTTTGGCCATTCCTTACACTGATTTGACCATGATCTGTACCGAGCTCTAGACTTAAACGCATCTCATTTTATTCCCATATTAGGAAGAAATGTACAGGTTTAGAGAGCTTTATCCTCCTCATTCATTCATTATATGATATTTTTCCTCTTTGCAGAGAACACGAGATCCTGTTTTTCCCTCTGGAGTGAGCTTCCCACTTGATTGCCCAGTTTATAACGACACGTTCATCAAAGTCAGTGTCTATGGAGTGAGTGACGAACAGCAGTCGGTGAGTTCTATACAGTTTTTAAATTCAATTCAGCTTTATTTGTATAGCGCTTTTACAATGTAGATTGTGTCAAAACAGCTTCATATAAATGGTCATAGTAACTGGATCAGTTACTGTTTGTTATACATCTCTGTTTGTTTTGCTGTGGTTTGAGTCTTTAGTTTGTGTGTTTTTGTTGTGGTTCATGATTGTGTTGCCGATTTGGCTCATGGACGCCACTGTTAGGCTCTTTTGGGGCCTGTGTGTTGTTCGCAAATCCCTAAATGATTTTCGTTCTTTTAATCACCTGCTTGGTCATTTTTTGTCACAAAATCATTCGCAGCTGAAACTTTAGTCTATAAATCAGATGTCGTCTTGCAAGCCGCACGTTTGATTATTTTGCATAAAGTCTGGCACATTGACGTTTATTCTGCTACAAATTGACAGCTCATTTAATTTATGTCGCAGCAATTCGTTCTGCAAGCACCGCTGAAGAAATTAGATATTATTGCACAGACTAAATCTGAAAACAAAGCAGGAGGTAGAGATGTGCTGGAGAGATGTGCCAGCTTGAAGACAAGAGTCACTTTTCAGAGATCTTGAGATGCTGTTAGAAAATTCACAGAAAATTATTTAATTCTTTGATAATGCAAATTCATAACTGATAATCCCCAGTGAGCTAATGCATATTAATGTTAATGAATAATCATGTTAAAACTGTCAAGTGTTTACTACTAAAAGAAAATACCATCAGGAAAAATCAACACAAACCTAAATAGACCATATAAAAGCATTGCTCTCTATGTCTGTGGCTGAGATTAATATTTATGTATATTTTCAGGGGTGATAGCGTTCCGGCACCACGCCGGATTTCCGGCGTACTGTGGCTGCGGGAAAAAAAAATCAGGTTCACGGATATTGATCTGTCATTTCTCTAGATTCACAGAATTCACTCACTGCTGAAAGCGCCGGATTGGATTTTATTAAGTGCCATTTTGTGTGCTCGTGAATCATCTTTTGAGTGTAGACGCCATGTAAATAAAAGATTAATTGTGTAATTTAGAGAGCTTTATAAATTATAACGGATCTTTGTGAGATCTCTATGAACTAAGATTAGTGACGCTTTTTAGTGATAATAAGAAGAGCGTGCTTTGCACTTTCCAGGCTATAATCCATTCAGAATTTGTATGAAACTTTCGTTTTCGGCACATATACGCTGATATGTTTTGGGAATGACATCTGCATATTTACGCTGGGTTTATTCTCGAAATAACGGTGAAGCAATAGACGGGACAAAAATATATTTCCCCCTTCTCCTTAAACAACTTAGTGTTTCAGCTATGAAATAGTTCAGTTTTGTATGTAGCCTAATGGCAAAGTGTTTATATTTAGTTTCGTTTTTTATTCAGCTTATTTAGAAAAACGTTTGGAGCATTTTTTATTCGTTAAAAATAAGTTTTTTTAACGAACAGCGCCCAGCGGAAGACCATCATTGTCTGTTTGATCAGTTTGCCTTCTCAGATCATCACGACTTGCCTAAAATAAAAGATATAAAACAGTTCAAGTATAAAACAATGGTAGCTTAAACGTTAAAGAATGTGTGCTATTAGACGCATAGTTTGCTTATAAAAAGCTTGCAGGACATCGAGGCGCCAGAGCAATCACTTGCATATTTTCAGTGGGAGCAATTTAAAGTTATCCGTCATTTTTGCTCACAAAGTACGAGTAATACATCAAAAAACGTTACAGCGTTTTTATAAAATAAAGAAAACCAAAATTATGCGCTTTCTGTCGTCTGGTTTTTGAACAGGAGCGCTTAACAAAGTGAAGCAAAATGTATATGCCTCACAGACATAATAAATATATTTATAGAAAGCTTTAAATTATTACTTAACGAAATAAAACAAATCGAAAACAAAAAACTCCTTCATGTAATCCGTAAAGATGAATTTCTAAAGGCGAGTCCAAGAGGAGATTGCCAGTCAGGATCTTTGCGACACTGACTCAGAATAAGTTTTTTAATAAATAATTAAGATATGTCCTTACTCTTTCCTCGACACATTCATTGTTATTTGTTTTTGCCGGTGCTTGGGGCGAGTTTTAGCTTATTGTGTGCGTTTGAACGCGGATTCACAGTAGCAGTTTTAACATGGAGTGACACGACATCTGACGTACAGATGACACAGGCACATGCCACTGAGTGTAGTGACACTTCCGGTGGCACGTCCGGTTTTCCACTGTCATTTGTCACTCGCTAGTGGCATGTGTAGTGACCTGTGTCACTCAGAGTGTCGCGCTGCATGTCACTGCAGTGACATCGACACCCGGCGAAGCTTTTGACATCAATAAACACGAGCAAAACCATATTTAATCATTACGCGACTTTTAACCTAATTTATCGCGTCGCAAGTTAGTTTATTTGCTGAGCTACTCCACGATGTTTTAATTTAAACGCATTTATTTTATGTATTCGTAGTCATACTTCCGTACGTAATATAGTCATTTGACAGTACATGTCAGTCAAATTTATTGTGGCATGCTTATGTATGGGAGGGGTTACACTTATCTGTTGTACTGTATATTATTGCATCCTGGCAGTTCCTTTGTTCCCTACAATATGGACTTCTCTATGTTTTTAATTCATTCATTTATTTTATTATTTAACTTATTTTCATTTTAAGGTATTTTAAATAATATCCTTTAAAAAGTTATAATAAAATGCATGTTGAAAACTCATAACATATATGCATGTAAGATAACAGGTGTCATTTGCCTAATGATTTTTAAATATTAAAGCAAAGAGACTTATAAGATTAATGTGCTTATAACGTGCTTATACTGACACCTACTGGCACATGTCACAAGATCACTGACACTGGCATGTGTCACTGACTGTCACGTTAGGCGTGATCAAAACAAAAGCAAAACAGGAACAAAAAGATAGCGGATTCAAGTGCAGATTTATTTACAGTGCAAAAAAACATAAAACAAGGCATTCAAAGTACAAATAAACCACAAAATCAGAAACCAAAACAGAGACAAGGCTCAGGAAACAAAACTCGAAAAACTAGACTAAGCAAAAATACAAAAACACGATCAAGAACAAACAACTAAGAATATCAGACTTACTGCACGACTGGGATCAAGACAGACAAGGTAGACAACGACGCGATGACAAACATAGGTGGAATGGTAGAATATATAGTCCAGATAATCAACGGTAACACAAAACAGATGAGATGACGGGTCAGTGTAAGTGTTCCGGTGTATGCGCGTGGGATGTATGAGAATGTAGTTTTTTCCCTGGGGCACTGTAGCGCCTACAAGTCCTAGAGCGCTACAGCGCCCTCAGGTGGTCACAGACGGATGTGACATTACCCCCCCTCTAAAGAGCGGCTTCCAGACGCTCCCAGACTGGTTCCAAGAGGGGGGGCGGAGCGGAGCAGGAACAAAGGGAGGGATGGGAGGGCCAGATCAGGGTCAGGCAGTGGGTCAGGCACCCCAGCAGGAAGCCAGGGTGCGGCCGGTGAATCTGTCCCAAGTAGTGGGAAGGACCACCAGGGAGGGTCGGGAGGGATGACCCATGGATGATCCCGCAGGAGACACAAGGCAGGGGGTTTTAGGAAAGCCGGCTGGAGAGGCAACTGGACTGGAGCAGGCGGAACTGGAGGCAGCTGGGCAGGAGCCGGCGGGACTGGAGGCAGCTGGGCAGGAGCCGGCGGGACTGGAGGCAGCTGGGCAGGAACCGGCGAGGCTGGAGGCAGCTGGGCAGGAGCCGGCGGGACTGGAAGCAGCTGGGCAGGAGCCGGCGGGACTGGAGGCAGCTGGACTGGAGCCGGCGGGACTGGAGGCAGCTGGACTGGAGCCGGCGGGACTGGAGGCAGCTGGACTGGAGCCGGCGGGACTGGAGGCAGCTGGACTGGAGCCGGCGGGACTGGAGGCAGCTGGACTGGAGCCGGCGGGACTGGAGGCAGCTGGACTGGAGCCGGCGGGACTGGAGGCAGCTGGACTGGAGCCGGCGGGACTGGAGGCAGCTGGACTGGAGCCGGCGGGACTGGAGGCAGCTGGACTGGAGCCGGCGGGACTGGAGGCAGCTGGACTGAAGCCGGCGGGACAGGAGGCAGCTGGACTGGAGCCGGCGGGACAGGAGGCAGCTGGACTGGAGCCGGCAGGGCATGGAGCCGGACTGGGACCGGCAAGGCAAGACGTCTGGGAGGTGCCGGCAGGGCAAGACGTCTGGATGGCGTTGGTAATGCCAGGAGCCGGGCTGGGACCGGCAGGGCGAGGAGCCGGGTTGGGGCCGGCAGGGCAAGACGTCTGGGTGGTGCCGGCAGGGCGAGGAGCCTGGGTGGCGCCGGCAGGGCGAGGAGCCTGGGTGGTGCCGGCAGGGCGAGGAGCCTGGGTGGCGCCGGCAGGGCGAGGAGCCTGGGTGGCGCCGGCAGGGCGAGGAGCCTGGGTGGCGCCGGTAAGGCCAGAAGCCAGACTGGAACTGGCATTGGACTGCGCTCTGGGGCTGGAGCCGACACTGGCGGGCGCTCTGGGGCTGGAGCCGACACTGGCGGGCGCTCTGGGGCAGGAGCCGACACTGGCGGGCGCTCTGGGGCTGGAGCCGACACTGGCGGGCGCTCTGGGGCTGGAGCCGACACTGGCGGGCGCTCTGGGGCTGGAGCCGACACTGGCGGGCGCTCTGGGGCTGGAGCCGACACTGGCGGGCGCTCTGGGGCTGGAGCCGACACTGGCGGGCGCTCTGGGGCTGGAGCCGACACTGGCGGGCGCTCTGGGGCTGGAGCCGACACTGGCGGGCGCTCTGGGGCTGGAGCCGACACTGGCGGGCGCTCTGGGGCTGGAGCCGACACTGGCGGGCGCTCTGGGGCTGGAGCCGACACTGGCGGGCGCTCTGGGGCTGGAGCCGACACTGGTGGGCGCTCTGGGACATGGGCAGTCCTCTTCCTGTGCCTCCTTCGTCTGGTGGTTTGAGAAGGGAGAGTGTTGTCATCAGGAGAGGGATCTTGCTCTGGAGC